CCTGCCATTTGCTAGTGAACCTGTTTAGTGAAAAGGTTTGACCACTCTGCCCAGGGAAAGCCAAACACTCACCCAACAGTTCTGTCATGTGTACCTGAACCTGTTTGAAGAAGTTACAATATCATGTTTGGGTAAGGCATGGAAAACAAAGGTGGTCATGGGGGCAAGCTTCCAAATTGCTGAAGTCCTCCTTGACCTCATCCATTCGATACATGCCAACTCTGGCAACATATTTCTGCTTCTCCTCCAGGAACTTCTGCTTCCTGGGTGTAGCTCAGATGAAATGAAGGAAGGCAAAGGTGAAGGTTAGTCAGTGCAATGTGAGCCATTTGGTTGAACAACTTGACAGTGCACCACTGGACCACAGAAAAAGACAGCTTCTAGAGATTGCATCACAGGTCTAGTTAACAATGAACACCATAGAAAACTTGTAGTTCAAGTGAGGCACAGTTCACCTCTGTTGGATGCCCTGAAATCCTTGAGCCTCAAGTAAGGGGGCAATCCAGCACATAGCCAGAAGCACATGCCCACCTGTTCATCTGTCAGGCAGCCCCTGGCAGCAGCACTGAACCTGACTGCATCCAACCATCCCAGGAAGCGCAACTGGTCCCTCCTGCATAGTTATAGTTGGCATGGTTGTTGCACAGCTAGGTTCTAGCAAACAAATGAACAGCCAGCATAGTGTATGTTGTGCAAAGCAAGAAGCAGGTTTCTGAGACCAGCCCCATTTGAACAGTTGGCATGGACTGACAACATCTGCAAAAGAATGACAAATTACAGACAAAGTCCTTGGGAATACATTGGATCTGTTCTTCTTTGTTCTTGCCAGAGCCACTTGTGGAACTGGCCGAGAATCCAACACTTCACCTAAGAAAAGTGGCATGTGTATGTTCAGCACCTGCTGATCCATTCACTTTCCCTGGCTCACACAAACCCATCCATAACAGGCTGAACCATTCCAAAAGTGGAACTTTGCACTACCAATTCAGTGCAAGTGGACACAGGAACTTTGTACCAAAGGCACTCTCAGCATCTGTGGACTCATCATCTCTGTTCTTGGGCTGGCCTGCAGTACACAAGGCTGCCAGTGTGGGCAATTGAGATTGTGGTGACACAAAGACCCACTGACCAAACCACACCCCCAACAGTTGAACCAGAACTTGTTTGCACCTGCCTTTTCTGCTCTTCTTCTTGTGGGATGAACTTCTCCTTCTCCTCCTGGATCTATCATCCCTCTTGCTCTTACCATGTCGAGTCCTCTTTCTGCTCCTGGATCTCCTGGAAATCACAAGCTGCTGGAGTCAGCTTTAAAAAACCAGGTGCAAAAACACATGCCATGTGAGCCAACAGATTTGGCCAAGCCACCCTGTGGAACTGCCACCTTGGCAAAACACCAAAAAGTGTGCAATTATCCACACCCTAAGTTCACCTATGATGATGAATGAGCCTCCATGTGTGAGGAATTACAAGTTAATGGCAGTCAAGGAGCTAAGCTCATCCTCCATATCATCCAAGATCTCAGAAGATCTACCAGGTGTCAAATTGGGGAAGCTGAGCTGCCTTTGCACCATTTGGCCAGGTTGACCATAGCCCCTGAGCAAAACACAGATCTAGGAAAACAACAACACACATCATCTCACCCAATCCAGGAAAACAAACAAATTTCTGAGAGATATAGGAGGTGGCTGTGAGGTGGCATTCAAAAATGGACAATGCAATCATTCCAGCCCAGGAACCAGATGGCCAGTTAAATGGTGCATAAACCACATCGACACATATATAAATATGTAGATAGATATATTTTATGCATATGGTTCTATCTATGTTTCTTTCTATCCCAGATCTCCCTACACATATATATATATATATGTACATTACTTTGCACTCCTTTGGCATCACCCTTTCCATTTTGCAAGGCCTTTCCATATGGCAAGGCCTGGCTTTGGTAAAACCAAGCTGCCCTCCCATTCCAAATTGCTGCTGGCCACCCATTTGGTATCCAGGCCTGGGATTGTGTGACAGGTGCCTGGTGCTTCCTTTTAACAAACAAACAACTCTTGTAGGTGCATG